TGTGAAAATGGCACTCTGCCACTGCTTACATGGCGAGGTGCAAGTTTCAACAGTGCACTGGAAGCAAACCCAGGGCAGGCAGCAGCCCCTCAGACCAGGAACTAGAGCTATGCACAGCTAGGAGAAATTACGCAATGGCTTTTTCTTTGCCAATTAATATTAAGCAGGTAGTATTATAAAAATAAATGGGTAATGTAGCAAGATGGTTGAGGGATTTGAGAGCAGATATATACATCTCTGTCTCTAGATTATGAGATCAAATCCTGTTCATATCAGTTATAGCCAAAAAAAAGTGAAAATTGTAAGACCTCAATCTTATTCTCAAATTTTCTATTTGATTTCATGCAAAATATCTACCTCTTTCTGGTCTCAGGTCTTTGTTCTGCAGAACTAAAAGAATTCTACTTAGAAGTTTTGTAAAACACTTTAGATGAAATCATGGATATAGGCATGATCCACCATTTTTTTAAGTCAATGGGAAGCTTTTTAATGATTTAAATTATTTTGAATTAAGCCCTGGAGGAATAGTTATATTGTGCATGAAAACTACATTAGACAAAAATTATTTAGGCCAACATCTTTCAAATTGCTAAATACACGCTGAAGTTTACTTAGATTTGTGGAGTTGCACATCTACACAGAAATTTGCAGGATTATGGTTAGATAGACATCTTTCAAAGGGCAAGCCTGGAAGCTACGAAAGCCAAAGCTTAGTGAAAAGTATGTGTAGAAGTCCTCGCTCTCACTAAGTGTTACTGCCTGCTAAAAATGTTTTTCACCAGTTAATGGGAAATGAGTAATTTTTCATAACTAAAGATTCCTTTCTGATGGAGAAATCCAAGGAAGAACACTGATCTCTGTTGCCTTGACAACATTTCCTGAAACACTCAAGTATTAAAGTATCCAGTATGCTCAAGAAAGTTGCAATATCTATTTCTCACTGGACGCTTACCACATTTATTGTGTTGCCATGCTCTTATCTGTCGTCTGTGACTATTTGTCACAGAAAGTTATGTGCCAAATATTACATCAGAAATATCTGAGCTGACTTAAATGCACATGTTATTTTTCTTGTGTATTTTCATGGCTATTGAAAGTCGTTAGATCTATGTCCTAGGAAAAAGAAAAACACATTCTTCCATGATTTGTGGATATTAGCAAAATAATAATATCTCTTTCTAGTAATGCAGTTCTTAACTGAGCAGAGGGATCACCTCTACAGAGTGGCTGGAGGGAGTCAATCCTCTCAAGGCTTGAATCTAAAGATTTGAGCCCAAACCTTGGCCTTTTTGACAGGCTTTGCTGAGGTGCTGACCAGGGGCACAGCACAGCTGCTTCTGAGATGAAGACTCTTAGGTTCACATCAGGAGTGTGTATCTCTCTTGCTGGCTGCTCATTGTAGGAGACTGAAAGCCTGATTTTACAGAAGTGCTAAAGATATACTGAGGGACAAAATGAGCAGGAGCTGCAAGTCTGAAGTGTTTCAAAAATCTCAACTTCTCTTTAAATTAAAAAGAAGTAGTATTTTACCAGTAAAATAGACAGCACCACCCTCTGTGAATCCATAGCTAAGTTTCATGCTTTCATTTCCCTTCAGTTTTTCTACAGGCTGTCTTAGATGTAATAAGAATAAGCACAAAATAAAGCCGCACTACAAATGCTTACTGCTAATCACTTCTGATCCATTAGAGGGAAGTTTGTACAATGTACCAGATATTTCCCTCCAATCTCTTCTAATCATTTCTTTGGATGAGCTCGATGAGACAGTATACTCTGCTTCTGATATAATGAATTATTTTATTGACAAAATTGAATATACTGATCAATATATTTACTGCAGGACATTTACTACAACTATTTTTATTATCAAAGGCAAAATACAAAGTGTTTCAAGTTTTTTTTCTTACTGCATGTTAGTAGGTATAACTTGGGCTGGGCAGTCATAACCTCTATGTAGACAATTCCTATAAATGTACTACTTCACACCTAGAATGTGGTTTCCTTCCCAATAGGGAAACAGCAGGATAAGAGACAACCTGCATGATATAAATCACCAAAAATCCTCAAATTTGCCAAAGGAACATTGCCAAAGAAAACAAAGAGGGAAGACAGTAATCCTGTCTGGGATTCTCAATCTTCATCTAAATTAAAACTTCAGGTGTACTGAAAGGCTGTGGGTGATTTCCTGTACAGGATAAGGAGATTGTTAATTGTCCTGCCTCAAACAGGACTGCAGCCCTCTCTGAACTGTGGCATCCTGTTCTGTGAACTATCTTCTGCAGCCCCGTGGCTGCTTCTGATCCCTCATCTCCGTTATTACCAGAGGATTTATGTCATGCTCTGACCCCATCCTTTAGACTAACTTTTTTTGCCCAAAGGGGACACATGTGCTGACACAGGATTTTCTCATGCTAAGTTTTGATTTATTTTAGTCCTATTTAGAGGCATTAATCCTGCCCCTTTGGAACTGTGCATCTCTGATAGTCATGAGCCAAGAAACTAGCCTACAGTTCTGACAAACTCCTCTGATTATTGAATGTTAGCTGTCTTCTAAACTTTCAAGTACCACTTAAGGACATAAAGTATTTGGATGTCTCTCCTGCATCTGCATTCCCTAATGATACCTGGAGAACACTAATCACGGACTATCCAGGCTGCTAATACATACTGTAATGCAGTTAAGCCAAAGTCTGAATAGCCTCCCTGAACACATAGCACTAATTTTTTTGGTGAAAATTTCTAAGGACTTGGCCAATCTACACGTTTCAGACAGCAGTCAGCTTTCAAGAGCTGCAAGGTCTTAGAGGAGTTTGGGCTTAGTTACATACTGAGAACCACTGCTGCCCTCTGCTGCAGTATTTTGGGTTATGTCTCTTATAATCGGTGAAAGCCACAAATATTCAAATAAAATTTCTAGTCTAAACAGAAGCTATGTTTCCACCGGAAATAATGTTTCCATTATTGACAGGATCATTCAAAGGGTCTGTTTCTAATTCATCAGCAAATTCTGATTCTGCAGGGACTATGTCAAATGGAAAAATATTTATCTTTTTTTATCTGATTTTGACTCTTAGAACAGGTAGACACAAGAGGTTGGACATGTTTCATTGCTGCAGCAAAATGTTGTCTCATCTTCTGCTAATAAACAGTCATCAGAAGAGTAAGAACTATGGAGTGAGAAACTAAGCTTGGGGCCAAAATGATTGCATCAAAGTTCTGCCCAGGACACAATATCTCTGAAAACCCGAACTTTAGCTTAGAGTATCATGGACAGCCAAGTTCTAGCTCAGTTGAACTAATCTTTCCTTATTCTTAATCTATCCAGTTCTGATGATCCCCTCAAAGATCTAGCTTTCTTCCTCACTGATGCTACGAAGAGTAACACCAGTGCAACCTTGCCATATTCACATCTACTACACAAAGGGCTCCAGATAGAAATAGCTTTTTTTTCCCCAGCTTTCCACAGACTCCAATAATACTCTTTTATAATTTCCATCTCCATGCCTCTCAATAGGTTGCATTGCTTGTAGGTTAGAGCACCTATCTTAAAATAAAACACTTAAAATAATTTTAGAATTCTTTCTAAATTATTCTGTGTTTCCCAATCTCACAAATCCAATTACTTCTCTCCTGCAGTGCTTCCTGCACTGGAATGCAACTATGGTGTCACCAATACATAACACTAAATTTCAAAACTCATAAGCAGACAAGAATAGATAAATAGATGGTAGCAGATCAGAAGAAGAAAGCCAGAAACATGTCTTCCTACTCAAGAGAAAACTCAGGCTGTTCTCAATAATTATCTGTATGGGTCTCCAAAGGAATTGGACACACATTGCAAAGAAGGCAGACTAAGACTCTGGCTAATGAAAGAACTGTACTTCCTTCTAGTATCATCATCATGGCTGGGCTTCACGAACGAAGATTTGGGAAAGGTCTCTACCCACGTTTGTCACACGCAGTGACAAATGCACCAGGTGTCCACACGTGTTCTGAGTATCTCATTGGTGGCCAGTTAATATTCTGAATGCTGTACCACAGAGGCCTCCAGAACTAAACCACTTTATGTACAACCTGAAACTTCTCATATGAGGGCTGATGCAGACTTCTATCTGTAGTAGATGGGACACAAAGAAGAGAACCTGTAACACATTCACTAGCTAATTCCAGCTGCTTTTATTTTTCGTAACATTTTCGGGTTTATTTTCAGTTATTCACTGAAAAACATACAGCCCAGCTCCAGACCTGAGCTCAAAGCTCATTGAACAGAGTTTCCTACAGGGAAAAGATAACAGTTTTGCTCCTCATGTCTCAGTGACAAGGTGAGAAGGAAGGTCCTCTGCATTTTGGCCTCTTAAACATTTCAGTAATGACACAGGGGGATCATGCAAAGTTCAAGGATTCCAGCTCAAATGGACTTATGACAGCCATGGGAGATGAAGATCAGCACCAACAATGAAAGATAAACATCTCTAAAAAGATTTGACTGGTTTCAATAAGAACATTGAGGACTCCAAATAAGAGTCAACAAAAGAAGTGGTTCAGATGGTTTCTGCCTTCTCATTTCTGAACACATAATTTACCTCTCCAGCACATTTCTCCCTCTCACCTTCTCTTCATCATTCAGATCATGTGTAAACCTCATGTTGCAAGCTTCAGGATACTTATGGTTGCCAAATACGTTTCCAGTTCTCAAATTATTCCTATAAATATATCATATCTGACACAGAATAAAGCAGTGCAATTTGATCTGCAGACTTTGCAGATCACCATGGAAATAAAAAATTAGAAACCAAAGATCCACAGAAAGTAGTGCAAGTAATTCTATATCACATACTTTTCCTGATGACTGCAAAACTAAACCACTCTCAAAATAAGCAACTTTGCTCTAAAATCAGCTGAAAAACCTTTCCTATGAGATTTTTTGTATTCTCTGCAGTTGCATGAGGACATAATGGGACATGGCCCAATTCTTAGACTGTAGTTTACAAAACACCTACCTCTAGGACTTTCCCAGTAATGAACTGGTGACATGCTTCACACTTGACTCCAAAAAGCACTTGGTAGTCCTTTTCACAATAAGGAGCACCATCTCTGAAAAAGAAAATCCACAAATTACAAACAACCTTTTAATAAACTGCTTACAGTGTAACTTACACTCTTCCTTTGTCTTCAGTCTGGAACTCCTACACGCAGCAACAGGCAAATGGAGAGAGTTCAAGAGAAACAGTTTGTATTAGAAGAAAAAAAAAAATCTTTCTCACTAGTGTCTCTTAGAATTATTCCTTAAATTCCCATCAAGAAAAGGCATCCAGTACAAACCACTAAAATAAATCTCATTATTTAGAGCAGACACTCTACACCTACAGGTGCAATTATAGGGAATCAGTGGGACTATGTCTGTGGGGATGAGAGGAGATCACAGTCTTTATCATAGGCAGGTAGTTTTTGTTCAGAAAAAAAATAATCTTTGGTAGTTTGCAAGGCTATAAGCCTGCTTTTAAGTGTAAGGTCATGTAGTTTTTTAGTATGAACATGGAACATTAAGTAAAAGTGGAAACACTAGTCAGCCTAGGAGTATTTCTCAGATGCCAAATTTTTTTTTGAGAAATTACAAACACTACTTTTTATTAAATAGTATACACAGCTGAATGGCAGGTTTGTCAAACATATATTGTTTTCTTATTTCTTCTCTTGTTTTATGCTTGAAGGGGGGGAAAGAGACCATATCTTCATTCCCTCTATTTTATTATTATACCACTTTTCCCCACTCTCTTTCTCTGTACTTTCTTCTGCTCAAAACCCCTTTCATTAGTTTCTTATATGGAGATGAGAAATACAGTGTCAGGTCAATCACATCATCAAGGTTACTCTATTTTCTAGCAAAGGTAAGAAGTGGACAGGTTCCTACTTTTTTTCCTCAAAATCACGTGTTGAAAAGCAAAATGGCACAACACTTTATCTGGTGAATACAGAAAACATATGCAGCAATCCACCTAATCCTCTGCAGGAACATGGAGATATACCTCCTTTCATACTGGTTTTAAATACAGACTGCTATCATTCAACATCACCTTTCAGTTCCACTCGGCAGTTTACTTTCCCAACTCAGCTCTCACTGACAACAAAGATTTTGGTGCATACGGAAAGGAGGTCAAAACAGGATTGCAAAAGCTGAACTTTGTTGCAAGCTCTTCTTTGTTTGCAGCTCGTGCCACAAGTTCAGAAGAGGTGCAGAGGTTACTCACTTGCTGATGTATTCCCCGGTTAGGACCTTCCCACAGGCCTTGCACTTAAAGCACCCCAGGTGCCACTGCTTATCCAGAGCTAGCAATGCTTGCCCATTTTTTATGTCTCTTCCACAGCCAGCACAATCTGCAAATAAACAAACAGATGCATTTGTTGTCAGCTACTTGGTTCATTAACCCTCATTAACCACCCACCCACCACAACACTTGGTAACCAAAGGGGAGAACTACACAGCAAATGTACATCTTTCTTTCCTCAAACCCTTCCTAGGTTCTGTATAAAGATTCAGTCATACTCAGTAGAAGAGGGAAAGTATCTCTTCTGTCTTTCATGCTGTTTATGGTTCAAAGACTGCCTGGCAAGCACTGTACGGACTTTAGATTTTGTTAGGAACAAACTACAAAAATCATTACTGCAAAAAATTCCTATCTTCTAAAGCAATCTGTTTGTTTGTCATTTTGCTTTTACCAAGATCCTGACTGCTGAATGGGGGCCGAGCAAGCACGACCAGGATGCTGCATGTCCCCGTGTGGTGGCAGCAGAGTCCCACGTGTCCGCCCAGCTCAGGGGCGGTGGCACATCTCAGCCAGGAACAGAGGAGAGACCTTTTTCCAGGGAGGACCCAAGGCACGGGTGACAGCCATATGACAGCAGTGAAGGCTGCATGGAAGGGCATATTGTCTTCCACCTGCAGGTGTGGGTAACTGAAGTTCTCATGATCTTTAATCGGCATAAGGACTCTTGCTCAGGAATTTTGGTACTACCCCGGTAGTCAACACTCAGTTTTCACTGCGATTCTGAAGGACTCTTTGATGGTAGAATGCAAACCTGAAGCCAGGAGCACTGAGTGCCCTCTGTCCCAGAGGATGTCACAATATCTCATGTTACATGAGAAATCTCTGGCTCAGCCCCAAGCTTCCATTCCTTTCTACTCAAATGTAAAATACTCAGAGATTTCCTGTTAAGGGGCAATCCAGCACATGGTAAGATTTGAAGAGACTGATGTAGCAGACAGCACTGAACTGCAACAGCTACAGCTACAGCAGTGCTGTAGCTGTAGCTACAGCACTGAACTGCTACAGCTTCTGTGCCCAGCCTCAGGGGACAGAGGGACTGAGGGAGGGGAAGGCCTGGAAGCCCAGTGAAGCAGAAAGGGAATGCCCACCAGCTGAGGCACACATGGAAGCCACACAGGAGACAGCCTGGAACAAGGGATTTTCCATATTTTATTATCCCCAAACTCAGTGTTCCTTTGGTTAATCTAACATCCTCTCTACATGCCTGGAATATCAACAACTGGCAACGAATGGAGACAAATAGAACAGAACCTTTAAAGCCCAGGCAGGAGGGAAAAGATCATCCTGACTCCACTGGCTCAAGGTGACTGAACAGGTACAGCCTGAAAACCTTCATCTCCTCATGGATTTATGGCCCAGGCAACCCCATGCCTTGAAAAAGGGCAAGTCTAAGTTTTATTATCACAACTTGTAAAGAGAGGAGAGTCAGTCCTTTTGACTACAGGGCCTGACTTTTGTTTTTTGGATAATGGGCAAAGAGAGCCCCAAATATTTGCTGCACATTTCTGCTATCCAGGTCATCATTTGCAGCATGTCCCTCTTTCTATCAGCATTCTTTTTCTTCTCAAATCCCTTAAAAAAAGAAGGGAAGGGGACTAAGCACCGTGGTATCTCGTGATAAAATGCAAGTCACAGACTTGTTGACATGACTTGGACTTGAAAAGCAATCCTGAGATGTCCTAATACCAGGACTTTTCTCTAGAGGACATATGTTACAAATTGAAATCATGAAATGACAAGGAGTGACACCATGTAATGGATCCCTCAGCTCTGCCGTGACAGCTCAAGGCTCCATGCCATCCTGTAATGACAGCAAAGGCTGGAACAGGTCACTAAGGGAGGCTCTGGAATTTCCAGCATAGGGGTGAGGAAGGGACAAACACGTGTCAGGGTGGCTTTGGTACACTGCTCTTGGCTTTGGTTTTGGGAGGATACTACATGACCTCTCAAGGTCCATTCCAGCCCACATTTCTTATGCTAAATCTAAAGCATGCACCGTGTCTTCAACTGTGACAACAAATGAGATCTTTCCTCAGTCTCAGTGGGTGCTGAACTGCAGTTTTAAAAACAGCACCCATTTCTCAGCTTCTTCCTAGTGTGCCAGCTTCCACAGCCCAGACCTGGGGTCCTGCCAAACTGCGATACACTCCCTGTTACATATTCCCTCAAAAAATCTGCTGTATTGTCCATGCTTTTTTTCATTTTTATCCAAAAAGCTTCCGTGAAGCTGAAATTTCTCAGAAATCGAATCAATAAAGAGATTTTTAAAGCACTTCATTTTGTTTCTAACTGAATTTCTGAGGCAGTGAGAATAGAAAAACTGCCTTACGCAAAAGGTCTACCTAGTCCAGTATCTTGATCTTTAGTGATGCCAAAACCATTTACATGGAGGAAGTAGGGACCTATGAAGTACCTCTGCTTAATTGCTTCTTTGTAAGCCAAAGGCACAGTAAGTCTGAGCACCAGACTTAATCTTGTGCTCATGTTTAATACAAGGGGTTGGTAACATCCTTTTATTATTCTTTAGCAACAATGACATCTACTTACTCTTTCTGGGTTCCTTGAAGTGTTTTGCAAAAGAAAATTAACATAATTTCCATTCTGCTAATATGACAGACACATTGAATGTCTAGAATCAAAGTAAACTAATAGCCCATTTCTGTTTTATTAGGCTGAGATGGCTTTTAAATAAACCTGATCTTAATTCTGGCAAAACTGTTGGGTATATACATGAAAAGCTAGCAATTATCATTATCTCCTAAAATAGAAAGGAAATAGGGCTGGGCTGGGCTAAGAAAAGACCATTTGTTCATCCAAATTCTACAAATAAAAGCTATTATGATCTCAGGCCTGCATGAGGCACATTTAAGCCTTTGGCTGGATGTCATCAGCACACAGTGCATGCAGGCAGGATCTCAGTATCACATTCAGCACAATCTGCATCAGTCTAACCTATAACCAGCACATGCTGCAAATAAAAAGGCCATGAGGTAAAAATGGTGGTCCCCAACCATATGCCAGAACAGACTAAAAAAATCTGAAAACCCCTCCTGAAATTTTGTACAATAGTTCCCACCATGGTTCTCTCTGGCGCCATACCTGGGTCTAACAGACTGCACCCCTTGACCTTGAGTTTTCTTATGGCTTTTTTTTGCCATATAACCTGGATTCTTCCCTACTCCCATTCCCTGCAAATCCCTGTATTCAGCTGTGCCGAGATAACGAAGAGGAGGAGGTGGAAAGTGCAGAGTACTGGTTAAAATGCAGAGTGAGCAGCACAGCTCCTCTATGCACTTATATCTCTGTCATATTTGACCTGTCCAGGTACAAAAGCAAATGCCTGGACAAAATGGCTGTGGTGTGGAATCAGCCATCCCAAAAGCATGGAAAAGTAGGGGGACCGGGTACGGCACTATAATATGATGAATGATTAAGATTGCCACCCTCCAAGCACCTTAAGTGGCCTCACTAAAAAGATGCAGGCCAGGGTGAGCTGCCACCCATGACACCTTGTTTGTAAAGATATGAGAAAATGGGTTTCCCTTTTTAGCATCTGCATCACCCCAGACATCCAGGAGTGAAGCATCCTGCACAGCAACAACCCATTCGTCACTGTCTAAATTAAGCAGTGGATTGTCTGCCTTTGCCTCCCTCCCCTGCTCTCAGCCAATAGTGCACAGGTGGGCTCAGAGCTGACACAGCTGGATTAACCCTCAGTACACAGCATAGGGTTTTACCCGCTCCCATTTGGATAGTTTTGAAAATTTAATAGCAAATTTATCTTTATCCCATATTCTCTGCTCACCCCATATAATTTATGAAAGAGAAATCACCTCTACCTGTTTTGTCCTAACGAACATGGTTATGCAAAGTCATGTGAATGATTTCACCAACTCTGCTCCACGCAGGCTTAGCCCTGTGAACAGAGCTAATAGCAGTCTGACTTAATGATGAATAATTGAGTCACCAAAAAGTTCCTTGCAATCCTCATGACCATTAGTAGCACATGTCTAGATAAAGGTTGAAGCTGCCACAACCTGTACGAGTCACTGGTATTTTGTACTCTTTACACTCCTTTTGTAACTGTTTCCCCTCCCTGTAAAACACAAATACATTAATTTTATAAAGATAACACCACCAGGCTTCTGCTCTGAAACAGGTAAAGCAGGGCAGAATTGGGGGGGATTTTTATTATTATTTTAATTTTTAAAAGGAACGACAAGTTTTCATTGGAGTTATACATAAATACATTGCCAAACCTGGCTGGACCTAGAGCGAGTGATTTGGAAATGATGAAAGAGGCAAATATTATCACTGGAGTCAAGGTCAAGAAATCTCTAATTATAAATAGCTCCTAATCACCTTGAAAAACAACTTATATCCCAGTAATTCTTCTGTGGCAATTTGAAGGTTGTGCAATTATAATTTCTCACAGCGGTAGGAAGACCAGAGTTTTTCCTCAGTCACCCTTTAACCACAGATCAGGCAATGCCTTCTAAAGCCTTGTTTTAAAATTAAAAGGTTTGATGATATCATGCAGGCTTTTCCAGATCATCAAGATATTTCTGTCAAAGCTAAAAATACAAACTCACTACGTTTACAGTATGATAAATGTTTTCAAAGTTTAAAGCATAACCATTTAGACATCAGGACGGTGATGAGTTCTGGAAATCAGAGGACACACATATATTGGGAATTTTACATGCAGGATTTCAATCTGAGTATGTAACTCAATAAATCTGCTACCAAACCCCTCCTCTTTGCCAGTGCAAGGATGGGAAATGTTTTTCAGACAAATTCACTACAACCCTTTTGCTGGAGGCAAAACAAACCCATGTGGGCAGCCTTGTACTCATGAAATCTAACAATAAGAGGCTGGGTGCATACAATGGAGGGAAATAAATTTCCCATGGGAAATGGAGTATAGCTTTGACAGTTTATTATAAATGGCAAGTTGGGAAAAACTGATATTTTTAAAACAAATTGTTAAAGAAAATAAAATTATTTTAGTTGATTAAATATGGAAAGAAATCACAATGGCATGAACTG